GTTGTGCCAATACTAGTACCAGTATCAGGTATAGCAACTGATGCTGTGCCCGTGTACACTACTACTCTAATACCACACCTGATACCACTTTAAAGCAGTGTGACTTTACGTAAACTCTCATTAGCTCAGCAGATATTTTAAGCTACTTGTACAACAAGATTATTACAGTCAGAAATTGAGTAATATCTAAAGAAAATAAAACATGTTTTCAAAGTTATTGTTAAAACTGTGATGGGAATTTTTCTAAGGACAGTTGTGTTATGCGCCTCTTTTGTGATTACCTTCCTCGATGGTTACGTGATAATATTGGTCCTTTGAGAGTCATTTGACATCAAAAGGGTGCATTAGTCAGATATTGTCTGTCTTTTACTTTCCTCTGGAATGAATAACTTCAGTTCATTGTCAGTCTGACAATCTGTAGAAATGTTGGACTATATTACAATAGAAATATTACAATAGATTCATCTGTGAGAGACTTTTGACTTTTGAGTGTTTTGCATATTTTCCACCACATTACACACATTGGGAGCAATTTGGGAATCAAGGACAGTTTTACATGTGAACATGAGGAGCCAGGCAAACCACCAACCTTACAATTAGAGGTTAACCAGCTCCACTACCTGAGCTCCAGATGCCCAGATTCAGGAACATGTTTCCAAACACTTTCACTGCAACGATATTCTGCAGCATACTGACCATATGAATGCAGTTGAAGCCTGTAGCTTGGATGTGATATAGATGTTAACATACTCTTAACGCTAAATTACCAAAGATAGTGCTTCTATTTTCTTAATGTGTTTGAACCTGAATTCTTCTTATTCGATTTCCTGGATCAAAGAAACCAAAAACAGTTTATTTTACATTCTCTGCAGTCTCCGTGGCTGTATCTCAGGAGACTTGTAAAGAGGCAAATTTGCTCATGCTGTGTGTGGCAATTGGATGTAATAGTCCATTTACCACTGTAAATCTGCTGTGTGCAAATACCACAGCGTGTGTGTGTATGTGTGATGATATCCCGGCCAGTGTTTTCCTTAAAAACCGACCAGAGCAGCTTCTGTAAAATAGGACTATCGTCATCATGACCTCTTCTGTTTTCCCAGCTGTATCTGAGCTAAGATGTGAGGCTTTGACTTCTCTTTTTTTCTGGCTCAGTGTTTGTTATACATCTGGTGGTCAGCGATGAGAGGAACATATCCCTGACTCACAGCATGGCCTTTCCTGCTCCATTTGAAAACTGCTTTGATGACCGGGGGCTTTAAGAACACACAGTGTCAATGAAAACACTTTGATATTTTGCAACAGCTGTCAGTTTTTGTCTGGTATTTCTCAAACGTTGGACATGGAAAGTAGTGTCCCTCCTTAGAAGAAGGTCCTTTTTGCAAAGAAATGCAGATGCAGCAGATACATATTACGTCCAAGGAAACAAGTAGGCAATTAGCTTGACTTGAAGACATAATAGAAGTCTGTTTAATATAAAAATGAATTCAATTAACTAGTATGTGTATTTACCACCACCATTATAGCTGTCTTGTCACTAGACAAGGTAATTATGAAGCTTTATTATGGCTGCAGAGTATGGAGTGAGATGTAAAGATTGTGCCCCGCATAATAGGACTGTACTGTGCAGTTGGAAGAATCAATTCTCTTTCTTTGTTTTCCCAAACTGCGGTGTCAGCAGAATCTTAATTTTTCATGAAAACTTTGGCTTGTGTGCTACTCATATATAGTGCGCGCACACACACTCACACACACACACACACACACACACCTGATCTCCCTGTATCCCTCTGTCATTTGGCATTCGACATATTGCACCGTTGAATGAATGTATAACCTTCCTCCATCAAAGTGCTTAGCTCTGTATGTGTATAACCCTTCTGACTGCAAAGATTCAGGAATACACGCCCCTTAACTACAAGTGCAATATAATCAATAAGGCCTGCATTTGCTTGCAGTGGCTCTATAACATGCTTACATATTTCACTGTGAAGTTCAGGTTGGAGTTACTGCAAGATGAGCTCATGCAGTAGGAATACAGAACAGTCTAGATCATGACTTGGTTAAAAAATATGTTAATAAGTTAATTCACTGAGTGGTAGCCTAAAGAGAATGTACAGAATCACATCTTACTATAGGAACTGTTCCTATGAATGAAATATGGGGTATCTTTGAAAATTAACTGTTACGATCTTATTGATTCTTCTATTCATCTATTGATCGTTCCACCACCCCTGCTCTACAGCAATGTTTGCATAACATTTTTCTTCGTAGGCACACAACTGTCTAGTGATCTTTCTTTGTGTCATTACAATACTGTAGACTCATAAAGTGGTTTTGCAACAAGTTTCTGTAGGCTGAGCAGCTATTTACCTGATGACTACCTTCCTGCCTGTACTCTTTTGGGTGGCAAAGAATGTCTGCCACTGTTGTTACTGATAATTACAATCATAAAACGTGTTATCACAAGGCTCTTCAGATGTAGTATGTGAAAGCTGCTGGCACTGTATCAACAAAATTCAAGGTTCAACTGCAGCAACTGTTTTGTCAAAAACAAAAATAAATTAGAGCAGTTTTTCTACTGTTTACACCGCGTTCCAACTCAGAAAATAATACTCTCCAAGTACCACCATTATGGCCAATGTTAAAGTACAGTAGCGTTGGCTGACCTTCAGCTACAAACAGTTAACTCAGGGGGCAGGTTTATTCCTAACAAGATGATTTATTGTTGACTGTTGTTGAATCCTGAATGGAACCGGTTCAAGAACCAGAGCTAATTTGGTGGAAAAGGGGTACTCCCTCCTGGTCCACACTTCTCTTTCCAATAGTTCGCTTTGAAGCCACGATTGCAGTGTTTTCGAATGATTTATTTTACCTCCACTCACTATCTTGTCATTTTAGCTCGTTACTAATCATGGATGCATGCATGCGCTACATGCATGAACGTGACTACGTAGCAGGCTGATATTGAAACAAAATATTGCACGAAATCCAAAGCTTATTTTAAATTACATTTCAGCGATCGCATAGTTAATGCCTTTTGATAAACACATACATTTTAATATAATATATGTTTCTAAATTGATTCATTTAATTAAAAGAATATTTCAGAGCTTCCTCTACATACGACTAGAGGCAGCTGCATCTGTACACCTACCATAGTTTAAGAACCAGGGGATTAGAAAAACACAATATCTGATTAGTGCAATGCATAGCTAGAAATGATAACTGTATACAAATTACAGCATGTAATGTGATGCAGTCCTGAAGACACACTTGTTTCAGTCCATGGAATAAATAAACCCAATTTGTCACATGGTTAACAAGGCGATACAGATGAAAAATGAAAATAGAAGTGATTTGCAGAGCTGAGTGCAGGCTGATGCCGCATTGTGTTTGAGGGTATAACTCAGCTGTTTCACACACCAGTGCTGAGGTAAGACAAGACGAGAATCAAGTAAACATTCTATTGATGAGTTAGGAAACCTGATTAAGCCACTCGCAAGCTATAGTGACACCCCTGTAATTCCACAGTTGTAAACTGAAAACTGTAACACAATGTTTACACACTTATCACATCTAGAGTCACATTTTTGCTCGCCCCCCAGGGCGTTTATGCATACTTTACACTGGTTAGTATGTTGTGAGTGGGCTGGTGCCAATTTATTTGCTGTCATTTCTTCTTATCTTGTCTGGCACGTGCCAATCTAGAACAGGTTTAATATTTTTGTTGGTGAGTGGTCAAAAAAAAAAAAAAAACAAATTGTCAGATGTCAGAATCACTTTTGAGAAATTTTAAATGTCTTGATAAAACAATGTGTTGTGGGTACCTGACCTAACTCTGTGCTGGTTGTGTTTTAATTTTTCACAACCGCCTTCTATATGCTGCACTAGAAGATCATTTGTTTTGAGTGGATCTCTGAGCCAAACATATAATTATTCTGTATTGTATAAGCTGACAGGAGAGTGCTGCAGAAATACCGACAGACACATGGGCATAGAGACAAAAACCCTCAGACGGGCACACAATAGCACAAAGAAAGTGATGTGTTTTTGCAGCACAGTCTGTAAAGTAGTTTAATTGCCCACAAGAAATAAAGCCCTTATCTTAGAGGAGGGTTTTGTGTTTGCATTCTGTTCTTGTGCCCCTTTTTCCACTGCAGTGAACTTGCATTGTCTGCCAACCCTTGTCTCTTTCACACACACAGCTGCAGTCAGAGGGCAGAGCAGTCTTTTCATGCATGGCTCACTGTGCTTATGTAAGAGCACTACTTAAACCTGGTTACATCACATAACAGGCAGCACTGTGTCAGTGGGTCACTGTGCCACACAACCGTTGAACTACATACACACTCTATGTTGGGCCCTTCACTGGGCATATGTGAATGCAGCATCTCTGTGTGCACTGAGGCATTCAGGCGCACAATTTGGAGGGTCATTCAAGCCTGTGTGCATGCATGTATTTGTACGTGTGTATGTTGTGTTATGCCAGCCGATTGTGAGATGCTGTACAATACAAAACAGGATTTACTAGCGAGTATAACATTTAAAAATATGACTTATGTTTCACAGTTTAAGGAATCCAAAGATGGCTGTTATTATGGAAAATGTGCCATTGCTGCACCTATAGAGTGCCAGTAGGGGGGCCTCTCTGTTTCTTGTGTATCCTCTTCTCACTCTTTACCCCAGCTCCTGCTCTTCATACTCCCTCCCCAGCTCCGCCTTTCTGCCTGCCCATCTCTGTCTCTCTCTTTTTCTTTCAGATTCTATTAAGTGTGCTCACACACACACGCGCACACACACACACACACACACACACACACACACACACACACACACACACACACACACACCCTGGGGCTTGAGCGAGGGCAGGACCAGCCACTCCCACTGTTCTATAGTTCCATGAAAAACACAGAGGGAGAGAGACACAGACAGAGAGAAGAAGAGAGAGAAAGGGAGGGAGGAGCGTAGCTGCGCTGAAGCCGAGCCCCTCTCTGCCTCAGCACGCAGAGTGGAGCAGACGGCAACAGCCACACAAACACACTCCCCTCTCAGTTACATGCACAGTCACACACATACCACACGCACACACCACCACCACCACCGCTGCCGCCGCCGCCGCCACCACCACACACACACACACACACACACACACACACACACACACCGACGGCTGCCAGGCGCAGTGGGAAGCAAGCCGTCAGGGAGAAAGCTTGAGAAGAAAGAGGGGGATTGCAGAGGGGAAGAGAAGAAAAGAGAAGAGAGTTGGAGGAGGCACCTTGTGGATCAGAAGGGATTTTCCTCTGTGTGAGTGCGCGTCTGGATAAGGCTATCTGCTTCTTCCTGAACGAGAGGAGTTTTTACTGAGGCTTTTTTCTCTTTTGCTCATCCTACACGCCGGGCTCCAGCGATATCTACCTATCTATCCCCGGAGCTTAACAAAAGAGGGAGGGAGTGAGAGAGAGAGTGAGAAAAAAAGGCAGTCACAGCTTCAGCTCCAGACCACCCTCTCTTCTCCTCCTCCTCCTCCTCCTCCTCCTCCTCCTCTCCAGCTCCACATCCATTTGTGAGTTCATCGCTGATTTAACTGTCTTGTGAGGATAGAGAAGAGGACAGCGTGTGTTCTCCGGGATACAGCCAAGCTCCCGGTGGGATCAGGGTCTCGTCTGGTGTGTGTGTGAGAGGGAGGAAGAACGAGACAGGGAAACGGATACACAGGAAGAGAGAAAGAGACGGGGAGAGACAAGAGTAAGAGACGCCGGAAAGCAAATTGAGGGGCATGTTCAGGGCAGCAGAGAAGAAAAAGAGTGAGTCGGATTTTTAGAGCGGAGAGTGCAAGGAACCGGCAACCGGATCCCATCCATTCCTCTCTCCACCTCCTCCTCCTCCTCCTCCTCCTCCTCCTCCTCCTCCTCCTCATCCTCTTCTTCTTCCCTCTCCTTTTAACCTCTCTCCTCTGTCCTGCTCTTCAATCCCCCCTATTGTTTCCCGTATTGCCTCCTACTATCCTTTCATATCTTCCTTTCCTCACCCTCCACCTCCTTCTCCCCCAGCCCCTTGTTTGCTGCCACTCCGGATTCTCTCTGTCTCTCTTTCTAGACCCACGGGAGGAATGGTTTTGTGAGGTTCCCTGTGAGCTCCCAGACAAGTAGACAGACTATAATCCCAAGTACTATCTGTCCTTCTATCCATCCCTTCCGCTGTGTGAGTTTATCAGACACACACCTCAGTAAGTGGAGCGCGTTCTCCCTCTGCATCCTCACCTCTTGGAAACAGTCGTCTGAAGGATCCAGGCCAGCCCCTCGGAGTGAACGTACCCCACCTGCGAGCTTCTATCTCCAGCCTCCAGGACCTTAAATTGGATTCCAGCTACATGGGAAAACGTTTGGAGCAGCAGCCAATGTACCCCCACTATACCTACTACTACCCCCACTATCTCCAGACCAAGGTAGGATGGTCAGCGAGGTTGACCTATTTTACTCCTCCAACTCAAAGAGAATAAACGTGTTTGTGTGTCGCAAAAACACATCAGTTTTTCAGCTTGTAACTGTCTCAAAGTCATCCTCCTTTTAATTAACTCTATATCTGTATCTATTGTCTCTTTAAAACTTGTGTCATGTTCCTCAATCTATGGACCAGGACCCTAAAAGGGGTCTAATCTTAGAAAAAGAGTCAGATTGTGTGTTGATAAGCAAGGAGAAGACCATAATTTACTCACTTTCAGTCCTATGGTGGAACTGCTTGAGCAAGCACCGAGATAGATGCCGGAATTGCCTCGCAAGACAGCTTGCTAAATGGCACCATGTCCCCTCTCCCCCATCTGTCTCTGAGGAAGGTGATATTGGTGTCACTCAGCTGGGTTTTTCCTTTTCCATCCACACTGAGCGCTTGACCCCATCCTCCCCTCTCCGACCCACCAGCTCCAAGTTCAAGTTCAGGGCATGAGGCCCACCCTTCCCTCAGCCCTTGTTTTCTCTCCTACTTTGTCCCTCTCGCACTCGTCCCGCCCCCTCTCAGTCAGTCAACCCCCCCACCACCCCACCCCCACCCCTCTACCCCTCCCTTCACTGGCCATCCACAACCCATACTCACCTAAGATTGCATGCTGTAGACGTGATGGATGGAACCTGATTTACTTACTCCGATTACCAGGAGTACAGAAAACTCAGCTCAGTCTTTTTCTTTGTTCTGTCAGTTTTGTTCCACTTCTCTTAGCAGCGCATGGCATGCATAGACAGATCCACACACACAAAATATTTCCCACTCTTGAGTCTTTTACCACCAAGAAGAGGAAAATGGATTGCTGAGGCCTGATCGATTGCTCCTGCATCATATCACCCAGCCCGCCATTCCCTTTGTCTGCTGTGATTCATTTGTTTTTTTCTTTAGTATGATAGTAAGTGTGAGGAGTTGGCAGGTTTGCTGCAATATTTAGTAAATCTGTACATGTCAGTAGGCAAGAGAGATGGAGACAGAAGCAAAGATAAAAGTGTAGGAGAGGGCTGCTATGAGAATAGAGAGATCATGCTATTGGGTGGACACGGTGTGGGAAGAACAGGTAAGATTGCTCCACTGTTAAAAATATGTTGAACCTTGAACCTGCAAGCTGCGGCTGCATTATGCTTTTGCAGACAAATGTCAACACAATGTGGAGTCCTATATACGGTTTCTTTCCCTACCTTCCAATCAAAATAATTTAATATGGCGCATTTGGCCAATTTCCAATCTGATATTTAAATGTATCTTCTTTTGACAGCTGCTATTGCACACAAGATATACCTGAGAGCACCCAAATAGCACTGCACCTCAACACTTAAATATTTTTTTATAAGATGACAAACTGTTAAAGTATAAATATCTCTTGCAATCACAACTGGTACAATCTCAAATCTGTCGTGTTGAAAGAAGCTGTTACTGTGGACGACAATTACTTTAAAGATGAAAGCTATAGTGATAGGCAAGCTGTAGTTTTGACATAATTATACTGTTAAATCTAATAAAAGTTTTTGATGAGAAGATCTTTTCAGTTCAGTCAAATTTAAGTCTCACTGATTCAGCTCATTCAAGTGCACGCTGACTAAAGTTGTGTTCATTGGCTTAAACACATCTACTGTAGCAGCTCTTCAGCTTTAATCCAGAAAATAAAATTAATATTTCCAATTAACTCTGGGATGCAATTGCAATGGTATTTGTAGCTGGCCGACATTACTGATTTATCTGCTGATCTCGGCGCTGCACACATTCACATCTGGGATGGGAGCTGTCTGATAATTTTAAGAATGTGCTCAAGATGAACAAACAGAGTCTGGAAACTGTTTGTTAATGCGCATAAGCAGCATCTCCAATGATGAGCACGCCTTTTTGTTTGCTAATCTGGAGGAGTAAATTCATGTCCGCTAGTGGATAATATAATGTTGTTTCTAAATTTCCCTTTAATGAAAAAAACAAAACTTCAATGATACATATGGTAATTGTCTCTTGGCAAATGTGATTTTTTTTTGTTTGTTTAATATATTTTCTTTGCTGAACAGAATTAATTAAAATTACAAAACCAGAATTCATTTTCTTGATAAATAATTTTTTTTAACAAATCATGCTTAGAAAAACTTTGACAGCCAGTGTTTTAGACAGCATTTTTATCATTAGTTTTGTGGCTGCATTAATACGGCATATTTAAACTTCTAAAACGAAATGTTGCCATTGCGTCAGATTTATAATGAACTTAAAATCGAATCTTATTCAATTTTCCAGCAGAAAGAAAGAAGCAGCATTTCTAATCAGCCCTGTCAGTGATATCCAAGAGCATCCAATAAAATTGTGTGATTTGTAGGTCCATTACACAGGATATTATGCCGTATGAACATGTATGTTAGATTAACTTCAACATTTGATGCACGTCTGTCACACCATTTTATATGCGCACATGTCACCATGTCAGACTGCTATCTCTTGTTCTATGATTTATCTCTATCAGTTCAAGGTCATCTAATTTCTCTCAAGTATCTGCAACAGGCATCTGGCCCAGACCATCACTTCATTCCTTACACTCCATCCATCCCTCCCTCCCACCAGCCCTCCCTCCCTCTCTCTGCTGTCAAGGTCAAATCAAATTGGATCCTACCTTCCCCAGTGTTCCCTCCCGGGCTGTGCCTGGTGTGTGTATGTGTATGTGTGTGTGTGTGTGTGTGTGTGTGTGTGTGTGTGTGTGTGTGTGTGTGTGTGTGTTCGCATATACATCCATAATAAAACCTGCATCTGTATGTCGACTTTGGATCCGTGACTGTACATGAGCGTGTAACTTTGTCAGTCATTGCGTGTGAGCGTGGACTGAATATATTTGCACACTTTTGTGTGTGGAGGGGCATCCTGTGGTAATGTGAGTGTGTGTCTGCGTGTGTGTGGCCTCTGAACAGTGACTCCCTTGCCTGACCCCATCTCAGTGCAGCTTGCTGTCATTAGAGCTCTCCGGGTCCCAGAAGAACAGTTGTGTGTGTGTGTGTGTGTGTGTGTGTGTGTGTGTGTGTGTGTGTGTGTGTGTGTGTGTGTGTGTGTGTGTGTGTGTGTGTGTGTGTGTGTGTGTGTGTGTGTGTGTGTGTGTGTGTGTCAGAGGCCCCAAAGAATAGCTCAGTTAGACATCTATATGGACCTTGACAACAGCCTAGTGTTTGATTGGCCTGTGCTGCTCTCTGACTTCAAATATGAGAAGTGTGTGTGTGCGTATGGGTGTGTGTAGATGTTGTGCAGGTGGTTTTCAGGCTCTTTGTGTACAATGGGCAAGAGCAGACAAAGATTTACCAGTTGTATTTATTATGTGGTTTGTTTTAGCTTTCTCTCTCTCTCTCTCTCGCTCTCTCTCGCTTTCTCTCTCTCTCTCTCTCTTTCTCTCTCTCTCTCTAACTGATCTGATTGGAGATGTAAATGACCTCTTATTAATCTTGATTCCAGAGAGTAGAGGCTCCCCTCTTGTGGAAATCAATCATGTGTGTGTATGTGCCCTGCCTTTCCTGCCTTACAATAGCAATCTTTAAACAGACACACACACTCACACAAGCACACACGCATGCACCATCTTCACACAAAGGCAGTTATGAAATGACTAGCTTAAACTAACAATGCTCAGCCAGATGACAGAGTGTGTGTAAATGTGCGGCTATTAAACAGAGAATGGCTCTTGCTCTGCCTCCGTAATGGGCTATAGGTACAGTTAGTGTACATTAGTAGGGGGTAGGGAGGGACAGCATGCCCTCTTGTGGCACTCAATCACGTCTGTAAGAGGGTTGCAGGGGATCAGGGGGAGGGTTAATGCAGAAGCAGCTGCATTGTTGCATGCTCTATGTGATTTGTTAAAATTCAGCCAGAGGGTGTATAGCTGGAGGGACAAGCTATAGCTCAAATCTATCATTCTTAAGTACAATCCAATGCTTGGAATTTTCTTAAATGCCTGTGTGAGCTAGTTTCAGTTATAGTATTGTTGATGCCCATTCTGTTGCTTAGAGTGCATGATTTGGTAATCATTTAGAAAGCATTATTTTTACATTTAGCAGGAAATCCAGTCTGTGAAATCTCTAATTGGAGCAAATGAAACTGCAAAACAAATTAGCTTGTGATTGTTTCTTTGACTTTTTGAGTATTTTCATGTGGTCGGGGTGAAGTGTGTCATCAAAGCAAATTTCACAGCTATAACAACAAAATCTGACATGTTGCTTTTCTTAGAAGTGGAAAAGTGGCATTCATGACATGGTTTTGACAAGGCAAATGCCTCTTGCTGCGCCCTCATTACATGCATTTGTTGTTTCCCACCATAAAACTACATATATGATCGAGTCAGACACTCTTCCTTATCTTCTAGTTATCACTCTTGTGGTACCTCCATCTCTACCCCTATGCCTTAATTTATCTTATCTCAAACAAGATTTTACATATCTATAAACTTGCCTATATATGAACTTTCATCTGTACGTGCATGCATGGAGATGTGTCTGAATGTAGTAGAGCTATTTAAGTTTTTTTTTAAATCTTTTTAGCCTCTGATGATGATTGACTGAGGATGTGAATCTTTGATGATAATCGTCAAGAGCAAGATAAGAGAGAAGCTTAAAGGGGGAAAAAAAGTCACATTATCAACCAGCCGATCATTAGTTTGCTGCAGATCAGTGTGCTAATATGCTCAGTGGCACACAAGAAGCTTTAATTAGGGTAATGAGAAACAGCATTCAGCTGATATCAAAGTAATGACACATGCGGACACGCCTGGACATCTAAATGGAATATTCCATCCCTTCAAAAATGAGCTTTTCACATTCAATTACTCTCTATTATGCACTAGATAAATGTGGTCAGTGGTTGGCTTAGCTGTGATAAGTAAACATCATAAAGGCAGGAGGGAAATAGGGGGACACACACACAGCATGGAGATACGCATGTGTAAACACAAAGAGTAAACCCAAG